GAAGATAATGCAATGGAACTTGGTAATTATCAAGTTACATTAATGGTATTTTTTGAGATTTTTCATTAATTAAATTTTATATTATTTTGACAAGTGTATTAATTGATAAATTCTAGAATAATCAAGAAATTTATCATATTTTCAGCCATATTATTCACCTAGGCCGAACCACCATTTCTCTCTAAGGTGAGATTTTGTTTTTTGATTTTTGAAGCTACATACTTGATTTTTGGATTAAGCTATTAGATAGAGAATTAATCTATATGAAATTCTCTATCATTTGGTACTAATATTACATGATGAACATGCTTATTTCATGAGATTTGGAAATTTAGGTTTAAGTAAGGTTTAGAGATTTTGAAAGATTGATGAAAGATTTTTGATGTTTTTGACGTTGGAGATTAATTCTAAGGCTTGTGTGATGATGTAAACTATGTGTAAAGCCTTGTATTGAATTAGGCCTAATTAGGGGTTTTAGGAATGTTGGAATCTTGATGTAATTTGATGTTGTTATGGTTACAATAGCATTCATTTAATATAAGGAAGTTGAATTCATGCTTGAAATGAATAAAAAAGTCCACCCTAAGTACTTAGTGATATTCGGCCAATTGGGGAAAATTAGGGGAAATACTGAAAAATTCCCTATGGTTTAGAATTTATATTAGAAGTGTTATAAGTGACTTGGAGATCAATTTGGATCAATTTGGAACCTTGAAAGTGAAAAAAATGTTAGTTTACAAGTTTTAAGGATTTTGGGACATTATTGTATAAATGTGAGATTTGGAGTATTCAATGATAATATTTAGTATTTAGATCCTGGAAATTAAGTTGGAGAGTTATTTAGTTTGGGTTGGAATTCGAAAGGTCCTAAGAAATGGGGACTTTTTTGCATGTTAATAAATGTAGAAGTATCATTTGGGTAAATTAGGACAATTCTGGAAGCTTGCTGAAATTTTTGTTTAATTATTAAGTTTGAATCAAATTACAAATTTACAGAGATTGGAAGTTGAATTGACAAAGTTATGCTAACATATAGTTTGAATATTTTATGTTATTATATAATGTCATCATATCAATGTAAATTTAGTGATTCAAGTAGCTTGAAGGGAAGGAAAAAGTATGGGATCGAGAAGATTATCGTGGAGAAGGTTCGATAGCGAGGCAAAAGTGAGTGCGTTTAATTCTTGTTTGTGTTGTCGTACAAACATTGACTTGTGATGAGCCAGTGACGGAGTTACTACGGTAAGAAGTGACTCCTAATGTTATGTGAATTGTGACTCTAGCCTAAAGGTTCATTTATTAAGCTTACAAAATTATGAAATTAAGTTAAGGATACTAATTAAGGAAAGTTGTTTAGAAATTAGATTCGAACAGTGAGTTTAGAAATTCACCGTAAATTATAAAGAATTTAATAGAGGATTATCTCTATATTGTTAGATTCGTATATCAGTCTAGCTTTGTTTAAAATAGATGGTGACTAATTTTGATGTGTACATAAAAAATATGAATTTTTAATCAGTGATAGGTCAGAAAATAGGACATCAGATTCTACCAAAACAGCTTCAATCAGTCAACTTTGAAAATTCGTTATAAATTGTACAAGTGAAACTAGACGGAGTTCCTTATATGGTTAGATTCTTATTCGAGTCTAGTTTTCATTAGTACAAACAGAATAATTTTTAGTATATTAATTAATACATAATAATATTTGTTTGAATGTAGTACAAACTGCCAGAATATAGAATTTTGATAAATTGTATATTGAAAATAGTATAAGGCAAAGTATTTAAATCTAAAGCTTAGTGAGGCTTATATTTTGATTTAAAATAATGATAATAATATAATAATAATAATAATAATAATAATAATAATAAAGTGTTAAATTGAGTATAGCTTGTTTATTGATTATTATAGTTGATGACGATTTGTGATAAGTCAACCTCATTTTATTTTCTAGTATGATTTATAAATTTTGAGTATGGAATATTTCTATAAAATTTTCCATCAAGTTTTATGAATAATTTTGGGTATGAACTACCCAAGTATGATATTTACGATGATAAATTCTAAATGTCTACAATTATCAGATGATTTTCAACTATCAGATATTTACAGTTATCAGATGATTTACAGTTATCAGATAATTACAAATATCATATATTTAACATTTATCAAATACATATTAATAAATTATTTTATGATGATAAATATAAGTTCATTGTATGATGCATTGAGAGTCGTAGATACATTTGGTATGTCATTAAGTGAGTACTTATCAGTTCATCTTTGACACATTCGTGTATCAATGTTCAGCATCGTTGGTGCTCATTCAGGTTATGATTGCACTGAAGTGCATCATATCTCAGTTTCGTATCAGTTCAGCTTTGATACATTCGTGTATCAATGTTCAGCACCGTTGGTGCTCATTCAGGTTATGATTGCACTGAAGTGCATCATATCTCAGTTTCAGTTATGATTTGGCACCGTGTTGTGCCTAGTGCGCGCCTTAAACTCACGTACCTTATATTTTCTTACATATACATTGGGCTATAATAGTAAATGTGAAAGTTATGACAGTATATAAAAGAAAGAACATAGAATTGAAAAGGAAGTTATGAAATATGTTCAAATGATAAAAACAAAAGTTATTTATGATATTTAATGATGACTTATATGATTTTTGATAAAATCATGAGATGAATGATTTTCGGGTTTTTCAGACAGAAAAACAGCTTGACTATCCCGGTTTGAAGTTTAATGTTTTTCTTAAACTATAGTTTGTTTCTTATATTTATGAAATTTATGGTTATATTACTTTAGTTATATTTCTATCTCACTATGTTTTACTTAGCGTATGATGATTTTCATGCGTAGGTTTAAATAAAGTAGAGGTTGTGAAGTGAGAAGCTTACCAGCATCTTATGCAAAATCAAACTTACCGACATTATCAGTAAGACATCATAACTTTGACTTATTAGTGGCATGTACATTATATTTGTTGAGTTGATGCGACTTCTGTAGCTCGTATTACGAGACATATGGGCTATGGGTGTTACAATGACTCAATTCTTATTGTGAGAATTGAAAGGCACTTAACATCTTCGGATGACATTTTCGATTTTCTAAAAACTTGATTTACCAAATGGCCTTTTCTTTTATAATCTTAACATTGAAGTTGATTTGAAGGGTGTTAGGGTTTATATGAACAAACTTAACGGCGGTCGGTAAGGAGAATCGAGATTGGGTTCGATTCTCATTGATACACCATAACCCGAGCATGTACTTTTCCAGCGCTTAAAGTTGCATTGTTGTTAACGGCGATAACCGTGGTTAATCCAAGTAAAGACTGAATTTCGGAGATAGACTTGGGAATGTTTTACAGAAGAGAAAAGTAAGTTACAAGGGTTATGCCTTGTAGACTGAACCGGCATGTATCCAGAGTAAAATCTCTTTCGATGATCAAACGGAATTGAGACAAAACGAAGTTTGAAGCTATATTCATCTTATTAATTTCGTTTTAAAAATTTTACTTGATTTATTTCTTTTTCTTTATCTTTCAAATCTTGTTTTATTTTTCTTTTGATTTGACCCCCTTTCTTTTATTTTTCTTTTCAAACAATATCAAAACAATTTAACTTTGGAAACTCCTTAGTCCCTGTGGATCAACCTTTCTTCTCTTTAGTACGCTTTATTTCATTTATTTTATTTAAAAATAATGAATATTTTATTTGAGAATTAAAACGCTTGTCAGGCATTCCTATGGGCATTCTGCTGATTGGCGAGGAGAACCTCCTTCGTTTGTCGTCTTAGTTATTTACGTCTATCTTGGTTTCTGCCTTGGCTTGTGTTACGATTGTATGTGCGTGTTGACATGGTAATGAAATTCTATGCCTTTTATCAAAAAAAAAAATTATAATTTTAGTTGATATATCTTATTTATTATAGTATTAATAATTATAAATATAATTTAAATGCTATATTTTTAATTTACAACAGTATTTAAAATAAGCATTTTTTTTCAAAATCACTTTTTAACAAACAACAATCTCGAACAATTAAATTTTAAATTGTACTTTTAAATAAACATTTTTAATAAAAATTACAAATACCTTTAAAAGTCACTTTTTAAAAACAAAGACAAATTGGCATGCGAATAAATAGAGCTAACGACGGTGAAGAATATGGCATCCTTTTAAGGTAAACATGAATGATTCTTCGTGGTGTGACCCTTATGATGATTTGAAATTGAAATAGTGAGGATTTCCACCTTTTGCCCTCGGGTCTCAGCAAAAGTGGCTTCAAAATTTCTGAGATAGGAGCGTTCAAAAGAGTATAATGATCATAGCTATTGCTGAGGGCTTCTCTCAGTCATCTTGATATATCCGTAAAATGTACTTGCCTCCAATAGGGGTGTTCATTGCTCGGATTTAATCGAATTAACCGTCCGAACCGAAATTTAGTTCGGTTAATCAGTCGATTGAACACCCCTAGCCTCCAAGCTTGCCCCCAGATTTGCCCATCACTTCTTCACTCTCCCGAGGAAGAGGATTGAAGAGAGTTTTACCCCCCACCTCTGTTAACATTTTGGGCTACATAATCTATTTCTTTGGCTGTAGCGTACCTGGCTGGCTTGTTGTCCATCAGAGCATACTTCGAGTGCTGGACCTGATGATATAGGTGGAGATTTTCTAATCGTCGGTTCTCTTTCACGTCTATGGTGGCTCCGTCGAAACATCTAGTGTAGTCTTGTATGGGATCTTCCAGCTGCAGATGTATGCTAAAGAGGCTAGCTTTGTAGTAGTCATCTTGTTGGCCAAAAATGGCCTGGACAATACCTTAAAATTACTGGTTGAGTTTGGAGGTAAAGAAGTATACCAATTTTTGGCCAAAAAACAATATCTCAAAGAACTAATTCACAATCTAAGCTAGATTGAAAGCAGTTAACATGAAGCAGTGGACAACCAAGAACTACTTCACAAGCTAAGCTAAAAGAATGATGAGATCCTCATGGCATGAACAACAAGATTCATTCCCCTTCCACCTCATTAAATTCCAGTAATGAAGGAAGGTCCCCCCCTCAGTAGGATACAGTGTTTGAAAATTACATCCTTCTTAATGTTCATTTTATGTACTACTTTCAAATGGGGGCAGAAAAAAGCAAATAAAAACTATAAATATTCTAACCAAACAAAATCAAACACACCTGCAGGCATGTGAACTGGGGCAGACAGACTAACCCGACTGCCGAGTCAGTTAAAAAAAAAGAACATACAGCTCATTCCTAAGTTGTTACGAGAGGCGAAACGAGGCAACCAAATCTGCATGCGATTCAAGCCGATATGGGTTCGTACGGGTATGATAGCCATGGGTGCTTCAGAGCCTCAGTTGCAGAAGGCCGCTTCTTAGGGTTTATTTCAAGCAAATGAGAAACAAAATCAATGAAACCCTGATCCCCCATAGGCAATCGATGCCTCAACGTTGTCTTCTTCGGTATCAGATATTCTAGCCTGTTGGTCTCCTGAGATATTGGTTAATATACACCACTTTTAAAAACAAATGCTTAAGCATAAAAACAACATTCATGTTGTAAATGGAGAAGCAAGGTCAAGAATAAACTACTTTTAACCGTTACAAGTACGCGATAAGAAGAAAACATATACCTGATTACGTTCGTAAAGCATGTGATTCTTGGAAAAGTATTTGTAAGTATCCCGTCCTTTTGCAAGCATGTCTTGTTCAATCGGTCCTATAATTCCAATTACTCTTGCAAGTAATGTCGCAGGTGAATCATTTTGGAACAGGACCTACGACATCATTTTGAAACCAAATTTGTACCAAACAATCACAGACAGTTGTTGCAATAAAATTGTTAAATCAGTTATGGTAATGATCAATATATCACTACACTTGAGCTATATAAGGGGGAAAGATAAAAAGGAGGAAATAATTTTAAACCAAGATTATTCAAAAATAGTATTTAAGTGAAAGAATATGCTTTTCCAGTAGCAATGACTAAAGAAATTAATACATGAAAAAAGACCAGTACTTACATTGCCAGTACAGAGTTCTGCCAAGATGCAGCCAAGCGACCAAATATCTATCTTCTTATCATATGGAAGTCCTAGGATAACCTCTGGAGCACGATAGGACCTGGATTGAACATAGGAGCATAAATGATCTGTCTCAAAACAACTGCTCCCAAGATCAATGACCTTCACCTCACATCTACTATAGCTTTTTACTAATATATTTTCAGGCTTCAGATCACAATGTATTAGGTCAAGGCCATGCAAAAACTGAAGCGCCTCCAAACACTGAATGGTAATAGACTGCAAGGAAGAATTTTAAGAGAGGATTAAATAATGTTAAGACAGAGATTAGATGTTCTTCTGAAGAAAACAGCTTTCAAAACCTGCAATCTTGGCATTGTGAAGTAAACTTCTCCACCTGATTCCCTATTAAATTTATGAAATTCATATAAGTTTGCCTTGAGAAGCTCACAGACTATTAGCAAATGCTCCTGGAAAATAAAGAACAGTCAGTTGTTACTAAACACTAAGATAACATTAGCATAAAGATAAAACTTCTAATTTCACCAACAGAGAAAAGCATTTATATTGAGCATGCCAACTTGAACTTCAACAAACATAACCATTTGCCTCCGGAAGCAAGACTTGTTGAGAGAAAAAATCCAGTATTAAATGTATGTATCAATAGAAACATGCAAGAATTAGGACTAGAGCACAAATACAACAAACCTGCAAACATCTAAACAATGGTAAAAGAATGTAAAATAATAAGAAACGAAACATCCAGTGTCTAGAAACATTAAGATTTAAGGAACATAAAAAAAGGAATAAGACAGTTATTGGACAGCATTCACTTACTCGGTAGTAGAAGTAATCATACAATCGGAGAATGTGATGCTTATCAGCTGGATCATGTTTGTTAACATACTTAAGAAGCTTAATCTCATCAAGGCTTTGATCAAAAAAATCCTTGTTGTTCTTTATAATTTTCACACAGACATCCATTCCTGTGTGCAGGTCATGTGCTTGTATAGCTTTGCTAAAAGAAGCCGATCCAAGGTACTCAGTGACATGATAGCGTCCAGCTAAAACAGAATTCAAAACAACATGGAAATTCTTGTCCTCCTCAAATCCAGTTCTGAAAAGAAAAAGGAGGGCTAATATAAGGAAGTCTGTAAGAGATATATAGCTAATAAAAACATTAAACCTTTCCTTATAAATTATACCAGAGAAATATTCCAAGCAAGAAAAAGGCATTAGATGATATGTCACAGGTTGTAAAAGCAGAAGAAATTTAGCTATCGAGATATGTTAGTGTCATTGATAACAAAAAGCTGCATCTATGAATATTCAATAAGCTTTCTTTTCTTCTCTTTTCTTAGCTTTGGGTGGTCCAATTATAATTGCCATCAACCATTTCGTGATCAAAGTTATAAGTCAATGGCCTTTCAGGTTAAATATTGTCTTAACAATTAATAACAGAAAAACAAACGAAAGAAACCAGTTTCAACTTCCAAACTGTGAATTAGGTAAATTTTAAGCTAAGAAAGAAAAGATGAGAAAGGAAAACCAGTCAACAATGAGACTCTAATTAGTTAAATGGAGCCCTACTCCCATCCGGTTGACATTAAACACTTTGGAGAATAAACATATTAAACCAAAACACTTAGTCCGTCAGAAAACTAAAAGTGGAAGCTTGCAACCTGCTTTGACTTTCCAACCTCAAGCAGAGTTCAAGGAAACTACCACCGAGGAGGTTCAAGAACGAAGACAAAAGAGAATATGCATCAGACCATTTACGCATCAACAAAATTTTGAAATTTGTTTGCACCAGCATATTACAAATACGATTTGTTACTAAGATAAGACATGCCTGTTTTTCCTATGCACAATCTTCAGGTTGAAGGTCTCAAACTCCTCTTCCTGTGCTATAATTTGTCTCACTTGCTCTTGGACAGCAACAACCTCTTCATCCTCGAGTGACACCCCAGGATCTTCTTGTCTCACACCACTTGTTTTCCCTTCCTCTTTTTTCTTCATCTGCTCTTCTTCACCAAAACAATAATTAGAGACAGTAGAAGGACTAGAATTTGCAGATCTTACAGCATTGGCATTGTTTTCATCCCTAGAACTATTGCCGGAAGAATCACTGCTTTTTCGTCTCCATGTAGCAACCATATCATCAGACCCCATCAAAGCACTCAAGCAGTCATCTTGTTCATCACCAGCAGCATTGCAGTTACTTGACCACAGAGACTTACTAGTACCTGCAGGCACCAACCCATCTCTTAGGGGTGTAGGAAAAGAAAAACCCCTATCTGTAAGATTATTCAGCTGGCAAGTCAGACCTTTATCATTCCCATTAACATACTTATCGGTATCAATTTTTCCAGTATTTCTTTTATCCCCAACTGATTTATCGATACTTTTCATGTCTATCTCATGATGACTTTGTCTAAACCCTCCAGTAGCAATGTCATGGTCATGAAAATATTCAAAATCCCCTTCACTACTTCCTCCAATTAAACTTTCACGTACTTCACTGCCAATATCAGCAGCATCACTGTTGATTCCTACACCAATAGACCTAACTGAACCATGCTGATCATCATTTATGCATATATCATCCAGATGAGATCTCCCACACTCATTAAGAACTTTCCCATCCTCTAGCATGATAAGGTCATGTGTCTGTGTGACAAATCCCTGCCAAACAGGTTCAGCATGCATCAAACTAAGATCCTCTTCATCCATCAATTGCTCATCATACTGGACCATTAAATCATTCTCATGAGTCCTAATATACATTTCAGTTCCAGACAGCCCTATAGGATCATCTGAAGCTGCAAAAGGTTCAACACTCTTTGCCTGGATATAATGTTCACCAGATAAGTAAGACTCCTCTGCAAATGATTTATCATCATCTTCATCCTTGGTTTGACTTCTTTCTTGTGGATCAGGAACACCAGAATGCCCGGTTCCCTTCTCATTGTCACTAGGATAATCGATTTCATGAGCCAGAAACCATGCTTCATCCTCAATAGGTTGCCTCATGTAACCAACATCGTCGTCATCATCATATTCATCAGAGTCCCAATACTCATTCACATAATCAACAGATTCACTCAATCCATCACCAATAGTAGCAAAACCAGAAACCAGATCAGATGCATCTTCCGCAATGCCCTGACTCACAGAAAGCCAACTATCACCACCATTCCTTTTTCCACCTGGATCATCAAAAAAATGTTTTACAAGCTCTGCACAGCAGAATAAAAAGAGAAATAACCAAATGTTCTAAACAACAGAATCTTTCATAGTTATGAACTTTCGATTCAGAGACAGACAAAGAAATATTAGCATCCTACTCAAGGGAACCAGAGAATGTCACAAGTTAAATCCCTTATATGAACATAATAGTCTAAAGTGCAAAAGCTTCAGTGTGAAAAAATCTATTTAGAATTTGAAGAAGTGATAACCACTTGAGCCGTTGCCAGTTCAAAGCTAGAGGACGAGTGCACTTATAATGTGTAGTTTTATAAAATTAACTTCCAAAATAAAATGTTAGTTTACTAATTTCTTTATGAATTCACATTTCACAGTGCCTAAAAGCACCTGAAATGCCACTGAAAATCCATTTTGAGGCCCAAATAATATGTGAACTTATAAGGATATGATTAGTTCCAATCATTTTAACTGGCCAGTAAGGCTTCAATATCAATTCTGGAAGATTTGGAAAAACTGAGGGTAGCTTTAGGGTCGACTTAGGGATTAAGATTTAATAAAATACCATGAGATATAAAGTAGGAAAACAAGAAATTCGGACAATTGGCTAATTGCAATCATTATTTTAAATAAAATCAAATATCTCTGTAAGCACAATCATCAAATCACCGCATGGTATATGAACCAACCTGAAGAGCTTATTTGTTGCCCAATGGGAAGATCCAGATAAGACCCTATAAGGAATGCATTGTCAGCACCAGTGAGCTTTGGACCTGAGACATCAGGCTCATATTTTTCCTCCCAATTGACAACCAATTTCTCCTCCGACTTGAGTTTAACTGGTGGCAACCTAGGTAACTCTTCTTTTGAAGTTACAGATGCAAGAGGGAAGGCCAACCCCGTAATACCCTTTTGCTCAGTTGTGCCCTGAGACTTCCCAAAGAATAGAGCCCTTCCAACCTCATCCACCTTTCCTCAATTGTTGCCCTAACATCAAGTGTATATGATTTCTTTTTGCCTTCTCTCTTATCTGAAGTATTAGCAGCATCATATCTGATAGATACATCCCCTTCAGAGGATGGGAAAACAGTCTTCACAGAACAATCTTTCCATATCTCTGAAGACGAAGTCGTGGGTTCCTCAGTTCTAGACCATCTTCCGTTGTCAATAAAGTTGTCCTTCATGTACACATTGTTCTTCTTAAATCGTTGCTCAAGCTCCTTACTTTCACTGGTATGAAACTTGTCATTCGTGGAATCTACATTAGCTTTGCTAGTATTTCCAAGCCATGAACTTTTGATTTCACCTAAAAACATAATCTCTTCTCCAGCTTTAAAACCTTTATCTGTTTCAGGAGCTTCAGTTGCACAATACCTTGACTGATCTTGTTTCTCTAGCTCCAAAAGGCTAGCACCACTATCAAAACCTCCATTTTTGTATAGATCAGAACCATTGATGGTATTGACGTTCCTTAACTGTAAATTAAGTACGGTCTCCTCTGAATTTTTAGAGAAAGTGAAACTCTTATCACTTATCACTTTTGCTTCATTAGGTTTATTATGCTCCCCAGTAGAAGCAGCATTTCTCAATTTGCTTTCAGACCCATTTCCAGCCCTGCATTCTATCTCTTTTATTATAAGTTCCTTGGAAACCTCACCACTGTTTCGAGAACCTGAAACATGACCTTCACCCACTGTTTTTTTTCCCTTTTCTTCCTCTAGAACCTTGTCAGAGTCTGTTTCTTCAAGGGTAAGCTTCTGAAGGAATCCATTCAAATCAGGGCGGTTACCAAGTTCACTAAGCAAAGCTGCTTCAGCTCTAGTAAAGCGATTTCTCCTCAGAAAGTCCAAAATCACATCTACTGAGCTTGGTTCTGTCATTATGATGTGCTATAGATCTAGACACAGCACTAGAAGCAATAAATTACCTGACCTGAAAATATCCAAACAAAAGAAACAAACAGTTTATGTATTTAAAGTAAAAAAATTGAACAAAAATGTCAGCTTTGAATGCTCTTTTCACATTTCAAGAACAAGGTTTGGAGAAGATACTCAACAAGTTTCGAAAACATTCAGTTTTCTCCATTTCCTTCTAATTCAATATAAGAAAAGTTACCCAAAACTAAAAGACAACCAGAAATAATCAAGCAGTTTTTCTTTCTTATTTGGTTGTCAGGTGAAATTTGATTTATTTTTGGTTTCCTTTTATGGAACTGACCTACTTCCTAATAATAATAACTTAATCAAGGTTAAGTAACAACTGCAATTCCATGAAAACAAAACTACGGCTATTAAATAACTTAATGGTGATTATTTTCTTAACTGACAAACCTGCTTGTCTTAACTTCAAATGCTAAGAAAGTACAACTCCGTATCCCACATTTCTCGTCCCGCCCTCTCTTACTATTGAAGTGTAATGTTTTCCTTTTACCCTCTTTAAAAATCGCCCCTAATTTCGAAAAACAAACCATAATATTGATACATTTTCCTAGACCTAGAGAAATTCCCAATCTCGTGAATCAAAATAGAAAGAACGACAAGATCCAGAGCTCCAACCAAAAACTCTAGAAATTGCTCCCAACAATTTAACAAAAACTGATATTCAAATTTAAATTAGTCGACCAAAACCGGAAAAGGAGATTGGGAAAGAAAAAGAGAAAAAAGAAAACTTACAGATCGATGAAGAAGAAGAGAAATCATGCCGATCTCTGTTGGATTTGGATTGCATGGCCCTATTCCACATTAAAACTTCAAATGCCTGAAAAATTGTACTGGGTTTTATCTTCAAGTTTGCCTTGCTTTATTCCGTTATCTCTCTTCTTCAGCTTGGTTTGTTTTTTCCCTCTTTCTGTGGGGTTATTGAACTCTTGGTTTTTGACCTGCAATTTCTCACCAGCCTGCAGGGCGTGTTAAGATCATCAAAATTTAAATGAAAAAAGAAAGCAAAAAATCGATAATAATACCTTAATAATTATTATTATATAACGGGAGGGAGCATTATGCCATTGTCATGTCCATTCTGCCATAGCTTTGAGCTGGTCGTTTTTTCGAAATATCACCAATACCTTATAATATTATCTGTAAGGTATATTAAGACTATTTTTTTTATCTAATACCTTTTACAGTAAGACGTGCCTTACATCGCGTTTTACATTGATATGACGTTACGTGGGGATAAGACGTTACAGCGCGTTTTATGCTGATATGGGGTCACGTGGGTATAACGCGGGATAAGGGTCACGCTTTACCTATAAAACTGACACTCATCAGAAAAACGCACTCCTGCGACACGCCTTAGGTTTAATTACCCCTATTCCGGCCGTTCACACCTCACCCCCTCCCCTCCTTATAAATATCCTCATTCTCAATCACTTTCATCACACCAAATCCTCTCAACTTCTCTCAAATAATCTTATATTATATTTTAACTGTTTAAGGTATATTTTATTATATTTAATATTTTATTTAATTAATTTTTTTTGCAGATATAAAATAGAATGAAATCTACTCCGCTTGGATGGAAATCATATATCGCGTCATTTTGCCGATACGATAACATTTTAACGTTTTAATATAATTTAAATTATTAGTAATAATTTATTTATTTAATGCATGATTATTAGTTTAAAAATTAATTTTTGTAATTATTTAATTTTAGGAGAATACCGTGTATTAGATCATTTTATTATGAACCTTAAGTTAGTGATATCAAGTTGTGTCTTGTCGTATTTAGTAGAGGCTGGATTCGGTCGCATAGGTAAATATGAGGGTCACTGTAAGATAGAACCAGACCTTATTTCTGCCTTAGTGGAGCGGTGGAGACCGGAGACCAACACATTCCATCTTCCGTGCGGAGAGTGTACGATTACACTTGAGGATGTTTCTATGCACATGGGGCTTGCGGTGGATGGAGATGTGATATCGGGGATAGCGTACGGTTCATGGACTGCTTTGTGTCGGGACTATCTAGGACGTGTCCCGGAAAGTTTTAACGGTGGTCGGATACCGTTAAATTGGTTAGATGCCAATTTTCGGGAGTTGACCGAGGACGCCTTTGATGATGAAGTTAACATGTATGCACTGGCATGTATACTGCAGCTTATAGGAGGGTTACTGATGCCGGACAAATCGTGCAACCAAGTTCACTATATGTGGTTGCGACATCTTGGCGACTTTCGTCTGGCCGGATCACTCAGTTGGGGCTAGGTAGTTTTGGCTTTCCTGTACAGGGAGATGTGTCGATCCACTGACTACAAGAAAAATGCTATCGGCGGATGTCTCATGCTGCTACAGTCTTGAGCATGGTATCGATTGCCCCTTTTATGTCCCGTTGCCAAGAACCCATTCGTATTTCTGCTACTATTAAGGTAATTATAAAACTGATTTCGTATATTAATCATTTTATACAGTGTATAATAAATTTTATTTTCCTTGAATAAGTGGTCTACTGATAGGAAAAATCATCAAGAGCTACCTGATGATTTAGAAAAAATTAGGGTGCTAATCGATCAGAAGGTTGGCACACAGGTATGCATTTTAATGTTTAAAAATCGATTTTAGATTATAGTTGTATAATTAGATTATTATTTTGATAAAAATTATATATATTTGTTTTAGCTTGAATGGGTGACATATTCTAATGATGATGTGAGGATGGTGATCCCACCTGAGTTGATGGGCCCATTAGATGTTTAGATGGCGATGGTCCCTTTGATCTGTTATGCGATCATCGAGTGGCACTCCACTGATCGCGTGCTCCGGCAATTTAGTTGTTTTCAACCAATTTCGGAAGCACCTCGTAGTATGGACGAGTTGCATAGCAAAAATAGATGCGGCAAGACCGATACAAATTGGCTGGTGAGGCATCATGAGTGGGTCGTGTTGTGAGAGGATTGACATCGGCGCCTTCCCCGTAGAGAGCCCATTTTTACTGACCTCTTGATGGTTGTTGGGGGTTATTATGAGTTGTTTAACAGTAACAGGAAACCGTTTTGCTTTCCGAAGATGCACGAGGGTAGACCTTTCAGCGACGTCGATAGAGACGTTCACCGACACAGTACCATCGTCAGAGAGCAGGTGCTTCTGATTTATCCTCAACTGCACCAGCAGGACCTTCACATCAGCCACCGTTTACAGCGACTTACATATTGCAGCCATATATGATGTCGCCACCGCCGTTCCCTTACTCGATACTACCGCCGCCACCGTCACCTGGTTTTATGACCTCATCGCCGCCGCCGTCACAGAGTTTTATGACCCCTCCTGAAGGATATTATGGGTGTATGTTTGTAGATCCGACTTGGGGTTCATATACCCATATTTTGGTGGGTTCAGCCTCATCACCCATGGCCGCAGCACAGATACCTCCTGTACAGTTTTCATACTCAGCGATGTTTGGATTTTATGAGTTTTCCCAGTTTTCACAGGCCGGTGGGATAGTCAGTCATACACCTCCAGGGTCCTTATTCTGTGGAGGTGCTTCATCGTCGTCAGCTCCTCATCAACCTAATGTAGCTGCTCCAGGACGACGATGACGACGACGACGATGATGGTGATGATGATGACAGCAAGGAGTCACAACCACTGATACGAAGAAATCCTCCTCGAGACCGACAACCACCGCCCTGCGGAACACATTCGCGTTGCAGGCATCGATAGATTTTATTTGTTTATTATATTTGTATTTAGTTGTTTATTGGACTTTTTTATTGTAATTTTTTTATTATTTATCATTTAATACTTACTTTATTTCATTAATTTTGTTGGATTTATTTTAATTTATTTTGTTAAATTTGTTGGACTTTTTGTTAATGTATTTTGGTTAATTTTGTTTATTACCATTTAATATCAGTTATTGTAATTTGTTTATCATTTACCATTTAATACTTATTGTAAGTTTGTTGTATTTAAAATTATATTCAAATACCAAATTGTTATTGTTTTGATAAAATTTAATAATTGTGTTCGATAACTTTCTTCAGTTTGTCACTTATTGTAAGATCGAATGACATTAACTTGAAGTAAATGCAAATAAAAGTACATGAATTCTTATTTGATAAACAACTACATCAATTCCTCATCAATTGTTACTTGATGACAGCAGAAGTGGACATGTTTTTCTAGTGTGTCATGGGTTTCTACAATGCCCACATCTTCTGTCTTGTCTAGATCTTTCTCGAATATCCATATCACAATGAATTTGATTGAATTTTGGACGACCACACTCCCTCAATAAAGCTGGATTTGGTACAATCGAAAGCAATCTTGAACCTCATCAGGGTTTTTATCATTACCTATAGGGGGAACTCAAATTCGTATACCTTACAAACTTCAGATAGTATGTATACGGGATCCACAACACAGTTATAGTCTTGACGTGTATGCGAGCAAGCTACTATCACATCAGAGCATGGATACTACAGAGCTTGAAAAATCCCGCAGTCGCACGTTCTGTCCCATAGATTTATTCTTAACGACATAGCTTCAATCCCTTGAAGAGGCGACAACTCTGTGACAGGAAACATTTCATGTCTTTTAGAGAAGCTTGTTACAGACATTCCATTTGATGCAGCAATTTTTTTTGTAGATCTACAACTAATCTAGGTGATAGACATGACCGCCTTGCATCCATGTTTGAGCTTATCCCTCGAGCTTCGTAAAAGTGCCCCAAACGAAAATATGTAGTTTTTACCAAAGCCGCTACAGGTAAGTGACTTGCACCCTTTAAGGTTGAATTGATTGCCTCAGCCAAGTTGGTCGTCATGTGTCCATATCGATATCCACCATCATATGCGTTCGTCCATATTTCTTTATCGATGAGGCTGATGTAATCGTATCCTTCCTCATTTTTCGCCCGCAAATCTTGAAGCATTGATTCAAACGTTTGAGGAAGTAGTTTGTAACCTAATCAAAAAATGTATAACTTACTAACTTGCTTTCTTTGCAAAATTAAAATGATCGAAAGAAAATAAACTACATCAGCTTCACTTACCCATGCGCAAAATTAATTGACGCTCATCATTCTTCTTGTACCTTCCATGGTAGTTCGCAACAATGTGTCAGAGATAATATCTATGTTGGATAAATGGTGGTTTCCACATTAGACCCAAAAGGCTCTATTGATGCCTTGATCCCAGCTCTGCGATCTGAAATGACTCATACTGTTTCCCTCGTGATAACATGTGCACGTAAGTTTCGGAGGAAAAAAGCCCAAGAATTTGTATATTCTTCTTCAACAAGAGCAAAAGCAACTGGAAGAATGTTGTGATTGACATCTTGAACAACTGCCAATAATAAAACTTGCTTGTATTTCCATACAAGAAAGTCTCGTCGATCTGGACCACAGGCTTGCAATATTTGACATCATTAACGCACTGTGGGTAAGTCCAAAAACCCAGTAGAATTGACATTGATCGCGAAGAACTTTATCATTATGGTATGCATAGGAGGTTTTGAAGTCCACAATTGTCCCATGATTCAACCTCTGCACCAGTCTAAACCAGCTTGAAAGTTCGTTGTAAGATGCTTCTTATTCACCATGAAGTTTAACAATGGCATTTTGTTTTGCCAACCAAGCTTTTTTATAGGAGACAGTGTACCCATACTGCGATTGTATAGCTGAAATCAACACAGCAACAGCTATATGAGAGCTTGCTTTTACCATGGGCATGATGGCTTGACATATCACTTCAGAGTCCAAGTTGGAATGATCTTGGTTGACCCCTCCAGCACAATATGTGTGAGGACTTTGGTATACTGTTAGTTCCCATCTATTTTTTCTCTTCCTCTTCGATACGCGAACCATCCAATTGCATCCGTTTTCACGTCGGGCACAGTAGTGTACATATTTTTCTGTCGTGGAGTGGTCGACTCTCGATTGAACAAAATTACGGATATT